CAGTTTCCTTTTATGTTTTTATTTCGTTGATGGAGGACTGGAGCTGTACGGTGGATTGTTGGTGGAGGTCACTGTAGTTGACAATGGATGGATAGAGTCTGTGGTGAGGCTTTGGGCGGAATATTTACGCTAGAAACATTATGGGGTTTGGGTTGTGACTTGCGAGGCTTGCGAGCCAAAGAAGGGCTGAGTATATTTGTCTTTTGACACTTTATATTGATGTTTGTGCTAAATTAAAAGTGGACAAAACTGGGGATAGAGGGAGTAGATATTTTAGATCCGACGTGATCGCCCGCTGCAATAGATGGCCGTCTATTGCTCGCGACACATGTCTGGTGTTGCGCCACATCATGCAGCCCAGTAGGTGGTATGCAACGTGCCTCCGCTGCTCGCCATTCCGCTTCGTTCAGCACGACGAGTTTCTTTAGCATTGCAAATGCTCATAAGATGACCATTAATCAAGGCTCAATTGATCTTCTTTAACCACATGAATGTGGCGAATTGTACGGCGGGTAGGCATGGTGTTCTTCATCACACATGTCACGCCTTACCGCTCTACTCTACATCGAGATCTCTCTTTCCCATTATTGGACGGGGGTGTGGATCATGTCCATCATGCCCAAAATGTTTTACTCCCTCCGTCCAAAATTAAACTTCCTGGTTTGATCGGGCACGCATATTAAGAAAAAGTGTAAATGTAGTTGACTTTCCCAAAATGCCCTCCACCCCTCTTCACTTCTTTGGTCCCCCACTTTTCCCTACCGTCTGATAGCTATATGCATTGGCCAGGAAATACGCACAAGCAATTGGGTAGGATTGGACGGCTGCCTTGATGCTCCACCAATACCTCCAATCGTCGGATCGCTACTCTGTCGTGTCACCTTTGACTGCAGCCTTGCTGCTCCGCCGTCACCTCCGCCAACTGCTTCAATTTCAAAAAGAAAAAGGAAGAAACTTGGGGTCCCTACCTTCTCATCCAACATGTACCTGCAATTGTTGCTATTTACTCCGCCATCACTACAGGACGTCGCCATCTCCATCTTCATCTAAGATCTAGATTGGAGTCATCAGATCTGTAGAGATATGATACCTCTTCATCAGATCTGTGTATAATGATGACACTGCAGGGTGGAGGAAGAAGAAAAGAGAGAAATAGAGAAAAAGAATAAAAGATTGAAGAAGAATAGGATGGAGTGGACGGGAGAGAAGAAGAAAAGAAGAAGGAAGTAGAATGGCCGTATAGAATCTTAAGGGAGAGAAAAGAAAAGAAAGAAAAAGAAAAAGGAAAGAGGAGGAAGAGTGGGGAAAGAAAAAAGAATAATGAAAAGAAAAAAAAACAGAATCGAAAGTAAGAGGAAGAAGAAAAGAAAGAGAGAAGAAAAGAAAAAAAAGAAAGTGGGGGGTTGGTTGCTGCCTTGGACTGGAGAAAGAAGAAAAGTATAAGGAGTGGGCGGGTAATAAAGTCTTTTTAACATAAAAAGGTTTCAAAAAAGGAAATGGAGAGTTTATTTGTGGACAGACGAAAAAGGAAAGTGGGAAGTTTTATTGTGGACGGAGGGAGTATTATTATTTTTAAATATATTTAAGTCAAAATTAATTAAATAAAAATATTAAATAAATATTTCATTAAAATTAAAATTAAAAATTACATTGAGATAATGGGAAAAAGAAATAAGAGCGGCTAAAAAATACAAGTACTTGATTAAAAACACTAGATTTTTATTCTCATTCTAATTCTTGTTGTTATATATTATTATTATTATTATTGTTGTTGTTGTTGTTGTTGTTATTGTTGTTGTTGTTGTTGGTGGTGGTGGTGGTGTCATCACGTTATCTTAATGAATGTCATTAAGATAAAAAAATATTGTTATTTTTCATACATAAAAAAACTACTTTTGAAAAATATTAATTAGAATATAAACAACAACAACAACAACCCAGTTAAATCCCACAAGAGTAGGGTCTGAGGAGGGTGTGTGTACGCAGACCTTGCCCCTACTCGAAAGTAGAGAGGCTGTTTCCAAAGAGACCCCCGGCTCAACGTCGAAAGTTGCATTGCTTAACTAACTGCTACTTCATTAATTAAAGAAGCGCAGATAGTTTAGAGATCCATTTTGATTTATTCCATCACACTCCAAAGCCAAAAAAATGGTGAAATTTTGGCTCCATCGGAGATGATGGAAAAATGTTAAATACTTAAGATTTTTTATGGCTATGCTTTATTTATTATAAAATAATATATTTGTAATTATATTTTATATATTACAAGATTTTGTTTTAAATATCAGACATGTCACATAATGTAATCAAACCTATTTTTTCTTTAATGTTTGACATTTTATTTTCATTGTAACCCTACTTTTGGAATAAAGACATACTCCGTATAATTTTTTTTTACATGTTTTATGTTTTACTTCTACTTTAGTCGTTTTCTCTAAAGTATTTTGGGTCGTTTTTACTTTTCTCAAAATGTAGTTCTCTCTTGGTTTTCATAATGTAGTACTCCCCACCCCATTCCATTTTTATATTTTAGATTAAAATGTTGATGTTTACCTTATATAAATTTAGATTAAAAAATGGGTTGTTAGGATAAGGGCTTTCTCTCTCTAGCCATGTCGCGGCGACGAGGAAGACCTAGGAAGAAGACGACACCGAGCAACACTCTAGATGATGTTTCGAAAGGAAATAGGCAAGAACTAGGAAGTAATAAGGGTGACGAGAAGAACGATGAGAAAAGGGAAGGATCGCCAGCACAATCTACTCCTAATCTGGAAGTTATTTGTACTGATGGAAAAACAGATCCCAAGGAGAGGAATACCCTAAAGGAGGAAGGGGAAGTCGAAGCTAAACGAGGGCAAAATCCATACACCTTTGCAGAAGTTATAGCGGGTATTGCCAATCAAGACACGAATCCTAGTTGCACAATTTACTACTGATGATGTCATTGATACTACTGATTACTGGAAATCCATGGTAGTGTGTTGTATTTTGGGGGCGAATCCTCCCTTGGAGGTAGTTAAAGGTTATGTCAATCGTATATGGAAATCTTGCCCTATTGATAGTGTTAAAGTATTAAAGGAGGGACAGTTCTCGATGAACCCTAAAAAGGAAGATGATATGAAGGATATTATTAAAAGGAGCTTTTCCTAGGCATGGATACTTCTAAAAGGTATAATATTCAAGATGGTTATAAATGGCTTATGGGCACACATAATAGAGTGGAATGGGTTGACATGGTATGGGGTAAATGGTCAGTTTCTAAACATTGTTTCATAGCTTGGTTGATATGGAAGGGGAGAATAATGACAAAGGATAGACTCAACAAATTCATCACAGTGGATACTACTTGTGTGATGTGCAATTTGAAGGAGGAAACATTCACCCATCTCTTCTGTGCCTGTCCATACACTAAAGAAGTTCATAGACAGATTTCAGCTTGGCTAGGACAGGACATTTCTTCAGGTTCAATTGAGGAGCTGGGGGAGAAGATGAAATTGGGAAGAACATGAAAGAAAGGAGGGTTTATGCTAATTGTATTACTGCTTGCTACTATCTGATATGGAAAGGTAGGAACATGAAGATACATAGTGGCAAAGAGATGACTACAGAGAATTTGCTACAGAGATTGAAGTCTACTGTTACCATGTCGATTAGGAACAAAATGTGTATATGAAATGTAATTTTCCCCATGAGTGGCATGATCTATGTTTAGAAGTAGTTTAGCATCAGGGAGTTATCTGCCTTTTGTAAGCTGAATTGAGTGGTGATTAATACATTGTGCTTTGTTAAAAAAAATTAGATTAAAAAAAACATTCTATGTAACTATTTTATCCATAATTTCTTAAATAGTTTAAAATATTGGTGTTTTCTTATTTTATCATGTAGATTAATATACAAAAAATGTTATTATTCATATTAAAAAGTTGGAAAAAAATGAATGTGAATCATAAAAATAGTGAGATGAAAAAAACAAAATAATTTATAAACTATAGTTATGATCATAATAGTTGTAATAATAATAATAATAATAATAATAATAATAATAATAATAATAATTGATGGTGTAAATTACTTGACCGGTCAAACTATACTAGACAGGGTCTAGAATAGTTGGCTTGATTCAGTAAAGTAAAGAAAGTAAAAACACTCAGAATGACCGGTAGGACTTTAGGTGGAACACCTGTAGCCCGAATTATATTAAAACAGAGAGTGCACGGTCACTTTTACAAGGGAGTTTAGAGAGAGTGAATTCGGATCCCTCTTTCTGAGGTTTACATGAGTATTTATACTAGGTTTGGGGGGACAGGACCACGTGCGCCCACGTGGGTGCACGCTGCTGATGTGGTGCGAGGTGACTGCCCCCGAGCTGCCTTGTCATCTTGCGAGGGGAATTACTTCCCTTGTCGCGTTCTGGCTTGGAAACATTCCTTCAGCATCTCCAGTTGTTCTTCGCTGACATGGGTCGCTACACGCCAAGTCCTCTCAGATTCTCTTCTGCCGACACTTTCCAACCCTAGAAACTACACCGGGTAGTCTCCGAGGGATGAGATCATCAAGGTTAGGAAAAATAGGGTGACAAAGTAGTTTGACCGGTATACCTTTTCGTGAAGTATACCGGTCATCTTTGGGCCGATTACACATCAATTTGCTGACGATTTAAGTTTCCCTCCCAAAACTTTTGAGATTGACCGGTCAACTAACTGGTCTTCTCCTTTGACTGGTCATGGGTGGAATACACCCATCAATAATAATAATAATAATAATAATAATAATAATAATAATAATAATAATAATAATATTTTTTAGAGTGATTTGTCAGAAAGTAGAAAGAATTTGAAGAAAATAAAAATAGTTGGAAGAAAATGGAAAAACTGAAAGGAACTGTAAGAATTGGAAGGAACTGGAAGAAATAAGAAGAAACTGGAAAGAAATGGAAGCAAATGGAAGAAACTGGAAGTTAAGAGTTCAAGCTCTAAAGAACAGGCTCTAAAAGTGCTACGTTGGAAAAAAACACATGTGATGCTATTTAGGGAAAATCATTATGTTTTAGTGCTATTTACGTAAAAAAACACATGGACGGCTCCTCTGAGGATTCCAACTCCTCATCTCTGACCGGGTTTCCTTCCCCTGGTTCCCGTACCTGTCAGGTTCCAAATTCTTCTATCCCCAATCCTCAACCAGTTAATCAGATGCCCGGTAATGTTCTTACGGGGAGGGATGAACCGGTCGATGAGGAACCGAGTCCCTACGACCCCGAAAACGAAACCCGGGATGCGTGGGAGGAGCGGCTCCATGCTGCCGGTTACTTTCCACTCCCCACCTTTTATGTTCTTGACATTCCTTCCCATGTATCCAAAATTGCCCTGAATAAGATCCGTAGACGGCTCCCGGATGGGTATACCCTCTTGTATGAACATGACTGGCCCAACATTGTTGAACCCCACCGGGAGGACAAGATAGGATTTCATACGATTTCCCTAGACGCGGGCATCGTTTTTCCTCCTCGCCCCCTCTTAACCGAAATATGCCATGCGTTTAGGATTTTACCCGGTCAGATAACTCCTAACGCCCACCGGTACCTCCACTCTTTTGTAAATATTTGCTCCCATCTAAAAATTGAGCCCTCCTTGCGTCTCTTTCTTTTTTGTTTTGAGGTCCTACCGGGCGGAACCGGCTGCGAAGGCTTTGTGTACTTCAAAGGTCGTACCGGTAGGAAATTTATCTCTAACGTCCCCCAAAGCAACCGGGGATGGAAAGAAAAGTTTGTTTTCATTGATTTTCCTCCTTTTGTCACCCCTTTTGCCGGTCTAAAATGGAACGACCACCTCCTTAACCATGAGTACGCCACACCGGCCACCTCCCCTGACTTGGAAGCGAGTGTGGAAATCCTTCTTCGTGGTGATCCATCCACCGGGAGGAAGTATAATTATGGAAGCTGGGTCTGGAGGGTTGAATCGGGTGGTGAGGGTACCTCCCAGGCCCATGACGCAGCGGGGCGCGGGGTACCCTCCCCGGGCAACACTGCGGAGGCTGAGGGCAACTCCCACCCAGGTACTTCTTGCTCATCTTGCGTCTCTCATTTAACCAGTATTGCCATTCATACTTAGCTTTTTCTTGTTGTCTTTTGCAGATATGGAGTTCGAGGAATATGCCATGCCCGAAGATAAGCCAGAAGGAGAGACCGGTGGTTCTCAGACCGGTACTGCCAAGACTTTCACGGCCCAGCCCGAGACCGTGGAGGTCCACGATTTGGACGACGACGAGCCCCACAATGACCGGTCAAAGGAGAAGGGCAAAGAAAAGGCCCGACGTCGTCAGAAGAAGGTGGCTACAACCCACCCTTCTTACGCCAAGAAGAGGGCAAGGTTGGATTCTGAGCCGGCCTCCCAAACTATTGAAGAGGCCTTCGTGAACCTGGGTCTGAGGCTGAAGGAGGTAAGGCTTCTTCCTATCCCGGTAGGATTTGACTTTCCTCGCTTGCCATAATTTAACCAGCTTCTTTGTTTGTGCAGAAAGGGGAGATTGGGCCCCATGCAGGCGAGCAGCTGGGGATGGGTTCTCCTTCGGAGGTTGCCCGGCTGGAGAAGGAAAGGGAAGAGATGGCCCTTATTTTGAAGAGCCAAGCTGATGAGCTGATCCGGCTATCTGGGATGGCCGGGACGATGAAGGCTGAAATCTCTCAGCTCAAGGAGGAAAACAGCCGGCTACTCGATGAGGTCTCTGAGACCAAGAGGGAGATGGCGTTGAAGGAATAAAACTTCCCCGGGCGTGCCGCTGCCTGGGTTGAAGAGAACAAAGCCGAATTTGCCCGGGTGCTTACGGCGACGCCGGAGGCGACCATGGAATCCTTAAGGTATCTCTACCGGGAGCCTGAAGGAAGGAAGATGATCACCGCCGTTGGCTCCTTTGGATTCAAATGCGGTCAAAAGAAGGATCGGATTGCCTCCCACCGGGTTTTACTGAGAAGGGACCCGGAGTTTAGCGCTGCTTCTTATGGCCTGGCACCTATCCCGGAAGAAGAACCAACTCCCCCTTCCCCCTTGAATGAACTTCCCGGCTGAGCCCGGTTGAATTCTTTTGTGAAACTTTCTAATTTCCCCGGGAATGCCCGGTGTATCTGTAAACAATTAACATTCAACTTTTGAAGTCCAAATGTTTACTTTTCATACCGGTCGATCTTGCTTCTTGATTGAGATTTCTGATTTTCCTCCTTAGAATACTTCTATAGACTTTTTGACCGGTTAATCTTCGATTCTTTGCTTCACCTCTTGACAGAATCCGACCGGTGTACCTCCATTTATTGTTTTTAGATGTCTTTAGGTTGAAGACCAACTCGAGTAAACTTGACCGGTTGAACTTCAACTTTGACCTGTTGAACTCCAACTTTTCCCTTTTGAGCGTCTTCATCTTGATGGTCGACTTGAAATAAGTTTGGCTCCTGGAAACTTTCTTCGATAAAGTGTACTTAGACCGGTATGTTCCCACCTCATGGTATTCCGTCCCTTTTCCACGGTCTGCCCGGTGAACTGCCTTGCCTTGTAGATCTTTCGAAGTTCCGTCGTATCAATACCCAACCGGGGTATTCCCTTTTTTTTTGTTACCGGTAGGTTGTAGATGGAACACCTGTAACCTAGTAATCTCTTGAAGCATCCTTAACCGGTAAGGATACTGGAGATTTAACCATGTTCGAATGGTTTCGAACCCTCTCCAAGGTTCAAATGCACCCTTCTTCCAGGGCCCCCTCTTCTGGGTGATTAAGTCTTTTAATGGCCCTTTGATTTCTACCATCCCGGGAAGGCCTTAGCTCACCCCCCGTTCAAGTCTTCCCTGAGAAGGGGGAAATAGGATGCGCCACGGTGGATGATCCCCTTCTATTTCTTTTAATGGGCATCTTTTAGTCCCCAATCAGTTTGACGGCGCCGGGTGATTCCCCGACACGCCAGTTTGGAGTACCCGGGCACATTCATGCCAAGCTTGGAAGAAGGTCCAGGTCGGGAGAACGTCCGTATGGGAGAAGGCCCGGGGAGAAGGCCCAAAATATAAAAAAGATAATATGACTCGTTCTGGCCACATCATTGGTCGCACGGTCCAGGCCCGGACACAGAGTCAACCGAATAGGCTCACCTAGGCTAGCACCTGGGAAGCCCTCCTAGGATAGGTTCGACCTATCAATTTTGTTGCCACCATGTAGGATTATTGAATGTCATCGGTTTGATTGATAATAAAGTAGGCCTTGCCTAGTATTACAATCATTTGTAGAACTTGCGAAGATGGTGGGAATTCCAGGTTCGTTCCACCGGTACACCATCCAGAGTTTCTAACCGGTAGGTTCCCGGGCGAACGATAGTTCTCACCCGATAAGGTCCTTCCCAGTTCTTGGCCAGCTTTCCTCCATCTCCCGGTCTACTAGCCTCCCTTCTTCGCAGGACTTCATCACCGACCTGGAAGTAACGCGGTCCAACCTTGTTGTCGTGGTATTTCTTCACGACTTGTTGATATGTGCTCATTTTTACTTCGGCGGCCATTCTTCGCTCTTCGATCAGGTTGAGTTCGGCAAGATGATCTTCTTCATTTTGTTGGGGTTGATAATTTGATTCCCGGAAAGTTGGGAATTCAGCTTCGATGGGCAGCCTCGCTTCACACCCATAGGTTAGGGAAAATGGAGTTTCCCCATGAGCCCTTCTGGGTGTTACTCGGAACGCCCAGATGATATGTGGGAGTTCTTCCAGCTACTTGTTTCCTGCTTCTCCCAGCCGTTTCTTGAGGCCATCCACAATTGTTCGATTGGCATTTTCGACTTGGCCATTTCCCTGGGGGTATGCCACCGAAGAGCGATTGTGCTTGATTCCGAAGCCCTCCAAGTATTCGGTGAATCTTGGATTTCGAATTGTGGACCGTTGTCGGTGATTAGGTTCATGGGAGCTCCAAACCTTGTGATGATGTTCTTCCAAATGAACTTCTTGCACTGTTGCGTGGTGATATTGGCTAGTGCTTCGGCTTCAATCCACTTGGTGAAGTAATCGATGGCCACGATTACAAACTTCTTCCTTCCTTGGGCGATCGGGAACGCTCCAATGATATCCACCCCGAATCTAGCGAAAGGGATAACATTTGATACGGGGTGGTAGTAGGTTGCCGGCCTACCGGGATATTTGTAGAACACTTGGCATGTTCTGCATTTCTGGACATACCTCTCGCAGTCCTGGACAATTGTTGGCCAGTAATACCCCAACAAGATGATTCGCTGGAAAAGGGTACGGGACATTTGGTGTGCCGCGCATACCCCTTCATGAACTTCTGCAATGACTCACTCAGCTTCCTGGTTGGTTAGGCACCTAAGGAGTGGCCCTCCAAATGCCCTTTTGTAGAGCTTTCCATCAAGGACTTGGAACCGGGGTGCCCTGAGCTTCACTTTTCTTGCCCGGTCTTCTTGTCCTGGCAGGGTCCCGTCCATCAAGTATTCCATCAGATCGTACATCCAGTTGTCATCCGCACTGACCAAGTTTGACCGGTCAGACTGGCTCCCATCTGCTATAGCGGCAACTTCCAATTTTTCGATGCTAGCACGATCAAGAATTTCTACCCGGGCAAGTTTTGAAACATGCTCGGGAGCATACTGCGTCAACTTCGAGAGAAGGTCCGCATATGCATTTTCCGCCCGGGGGACTTGGGCGATCTTGAATTCCTCGAAGCTTTTCAACAAGGCAAGCACCAGGTCCTTGTATTACGCCATTCGCCCTTCTCTGGTTTCCATATTACCGGTCACTTGCCCAACGATCAAACTGGAATCAGATTTTATACTAACACGGTTAATCTTCAGGGCTTGGGCAAGTCTGAGCCCTCCGGCCAGAGCTTCGTATTCTGCCTCGTTGTTTGTCAGCTTGAAGTTGAAGATGATTGCATGGTAAATTTTGAACCCTTCCGGGGTGGTAAAAACTATACCACCCCCGTAACCTTTAGGACCAGACGCCCCGTCTACTGCCATCTCCCACCACTGCTCGGTAGGCTTGTCGACCGGTGCATCTGGAGTTACACCGGTCATTTCCACAAGGAAGTCCGCAAGGGCTTGCCCTTTGATTGCTGATCTCGGCCGGTACTCAATGTTGAATTGAGTTAACATCATCGCCCATTTCACCATCCTCCCGGAGGATGTTGAATTTCGCAACACTGCACCCAGCGGTTGGTCAGTCAAGACTTCCACCGGGTGAGCTTGGAAGTAGGATGTTAACTTTTTTGCAGAGATGAAAAGCGCGTAGGCTGTTTTCTCCATTGTTGTGTATCTACTTTCGGCTCCGTTTAGTGCTTTGCTCACATAATAAATAGGCTTTTGTGCCCCATCAACTCTTATTAAAACAGAGCTTACAGCATTTGGGGAAATTCCCAGGTACGAATACAGAGTTTCACCCGGCTGGGGTTTAGACAATACAATATCTGACACTAGGTACTCTTTCAGCTCGTCGAATGCCCTCTGGCACTCTTCGTCCCATGCAAAAGTGTTGGCCTTCTTCAGGACTTTGAAGAAAGGCAGGGACCTCTCAGCTGACCGGGAAAGGAACCGGCTGAGTGCCGCTAGACGACCGGTCAACTTTTGGACATCCCTCACAGATGTGGGGGCCTGCATTTCAGTGATAGCCTGGATTTTTTCTGGGTTGGGCTCTATTCCTCTCTTGGTCACCATGAACCCCAAGAACTTCCCGGTACGAACCGCGAAGACGCACTTCTTGGGATTCAACCGGAGGTTGTATCTTGCCATGATATCGAATGTGGCGCGCATATCAGCCGGGTGATTGAGAGATACCTGGCTTTTGATTAGCATGTCGTCGACGTATGCCTCCATGGTCTTTCCCAGCAGTGGCTTGAAGAGCTTGTTCACCATGCGCTGGTAGGTTGCCCCCGAATTCTTCAAGCCAAACGCCATTACCCGGTAACAGTAGGTTCCTTCGGGTGTGAGGAATGACGTCTTCTCTTCATCCTCCTTGGCCATGTATATCTGGTGGTAGCCCTTGAANGAACCGCGAAGACGCACTTCTTGGGATTCAACCGGAGGTTGTATCTTGCCATGATATCGAATGTGGCGCGCATATCAGCCGGGTGATTGAGAGATACCTGGCTTTTGATTAGCATGTCGTCGACGTATGCCTCCATGGTCTTTCCCAGCAGTGGCTTGAAGAGCTTGTTCACCATGCGCTGGTAGGTTGCCCCCAAATTCTTCAAGACAAACGCCATTACCCGGTAACAGTAGGTTCCTTCGGGTGTGAGGAATGACGTCTTCTCTTCATCCTCCTTGGCCATGTATATCTGGTGGTAGCCCTTGAACGCATCCATGAAACTTAGGAGTTCGCACCCCGCAGTTTCGTCCACCATTTGATCTGGACTGGGGAGGGGGTATGAATCCATCGGACACGCCTTGTTCAAGTCCGTGTAGTCCACACACATTCTCCATGTGTCCCCCTTGGGAGCAAGAACCACGTTGGCCAACCAATCCGGGTACTTGACTTCCCGAACGTGACCAACACTGAGGAGATCCTTCACCTCCTTCTTGACGAAGTCCCGCCGGTCACTGGCCAGGTACCTTTTCTTCTGGCGTACCGGTCGACTTCCATCTCTCACTGCCAACCGGTGACAGGTGATTGAGCGGTCGATTCCGGGCATATCTGCCACGCTCCATGCAAATATGCCCGCGTATTCTCGGAGTACCCGCGTGATCTCCGCCTTGAGGTCTTCTGGGAGATTGGCTCCGATTCTGACCATCCTTGAAGAATCACCCGGGTGAAGTTCGATTTCCACCGTCTCGGCCTCGGGCTCCAATTTCTCCCGAGTCTCTCCCTTCGTGATCTCTTGGGATATGACATTGACCCCCTTGGTCATCTTTTTGACTGCCCGAGCATAGCACTCCTAGGCGTTCCTCTGGTCGCCTTTCACCTCACCCACACCGCCTGGAGTGTGGAACTTCATGCACAGGTGAGGCATGGAAATTACCGCCCCGACCTTATTGATGCCTGGCCTCCCAAGGATGGCATTGTGGACGCATTTGATGTCCACCACAATAAATCGCATCTTCTTCCACACGGTCTTTTCGCCCGAACCTAGTTCGACCGGTGGAACTATGGACCCTTCAGCTTCCACCGTATCTCCCGTGAAGCCTGAGAGAGGGGTTTTGAGGGGTTCAAGTTGTGTCCGACACAACCTGAGTTTCTGGAAAGTCTCCGGGTAGAGGATGTTGACACTGCTGCCGGTGTCAACAAGTACCCGGGCGACATCCACCCCATTAATGTCCATGGTGATGACCAATGGATCATTGTGATCTTCACCGGTAGGAGGGAGATCCCGGTTAGTGAAGACGATCGGCTCCCTCCTGGTATGTTTACGCCTGGGCGGCTCAGCGCTTACCTCACCAACGTAAATGCTCCGGACCCAGTTCTTCCGTTGCGCGGCTGAGTCTCCACCCTCAGGTCCGCCGAAGATCATGCCGATGTGTTCCTTTTCAGGGGCAGGTTGCCGCTCCTTCGGCCGGTTATTCCTCTGCCGGTCGTTGTCCCGGTCATCCTCCGGGATAGGTGGCCTAACCCATTGATGACTCTTCTCCTGGGCTTTCTGCAAATAATCTTTGCCCAGTTCTCCGCTGTCTATCATTTGCCGGATGACTCCCTTAACACTCTTGCACTCGGAAGTGTTATGGGAATCTGACCGATGGTACGAACAATACGTGCCCGACCATTGCCGTCCAGTTTGACCGGTAGGATTTTCCGGAGGAATGACCGGGTAGGGAGCCGGTGCTTTCCTTACCTCCTGGCACTCTTCTGTGTTGACCATGCGGACGACCGGGTCATAATGGTGCCTTGGCCGGCTGGTTACCGGTGCTTCTTCCTTTTTGACCTGCACCGGCTTGGGCTTGAACCCATGTTCGGCTTCCTTCTTCGCCCGGAGTTGAGTTTCAGCCTCAGCAAACTCCCATGCAGTGTGATAGGCCTCTTGGTACGTGGCCGGGGGTTTCCGGCAGAACTCCTTGTATAGTTCCCCGACACGTAGGCCACTCAAGAGGAGAGATAAGACGGTTTTGTCATCCATCTCTTCCACCTTGTCTACCTCTTCCTTCCACCGGGTAAGGAATTGGGTAAGGTTCTCGGATTCCCTCTGCCCGGTTGTACTAAGATAAGTGAACTTCTTCCTCTTAGTACAGTTCTCCTGGAACTTGGCCTTGAACTTTGAGGCCAAGTCACTGAATGAGTCAATGCTTCCTGGGCGAAGCTTGTTGAACCATTCAGTGGCTCGATTTCGCAAAGTTTGGAAGAAAAGAAGGCACTTTTCTTCGTCTGTACAACCGTTCATGGTTGCACTCTGATTGAAGGAGTCCAGGTGAATTTCTAGATCTTCCTTCCCGGTGAATCTTGGGGCGTCTATCTTGGCCTTTCGCGGGAAAGGTGTCAGATGAACCCTTGTGGTGAACGGGGACCCTGCGAGGGGCATATCCCGGTCATTCTTCTCCCCGACCTTCTTCTCCAGTCTTTCCAATTTTGCCTCCATCTGCTGGACGCGATCATTGGGGATGTTTAACCGGTTAGCCACCGGTACCCTGGGTTGGCTTTTTGCCTCCTCCTCCTGGTGAGAGGCCCTCGTCCTCGCTGGCTCCTACCGGTTCGACCGGGAGCGCTGGGTACGGGCAGGTTCGACCTCCCTCCCCTCGCCTAACCGGGCGAATGCGCTGACATGGGCAACGCTTTGCCCCAGCCTCAGCTTGGCTGATTTTATCTGGCCCTCCTCCCTATCCCCAGCCTTTCGAAGGCGGAGTTTCGGGAGGTGGCTGGTCGGATGGCCTTTCCCTTCTTCTTCTTGTGGGTCCTTGGAATGTCCCACTCATCGTCTCCGCTTTCAACTGAGACGCAGTGACCATCCGGAGTGATTAGCGGATTCGTACCTTGCAGGGGACGCGACGGCCCTGCGGCGTTAAGCGCACCTGCCAAGTTAATGGGGGCCACAGCGCTGATTAGCTGCGGCTGGAAAGGTGATGGCTGCGGAATCGGCGTCTGAAACGGAGTCACTGCCATTGGAGCCTGTAGGGGCATGGTTCCCGCGCCTGGAAGAGCGAATCGGAAGATACCAGGGATGAAAGGCATCCCCCCATTTTGTTGGCATATAGCCATGACCTGGCCAAAGCCCTGGATGGCCTGCAAGTTGGCTGGGTCATTCATGAACTGGGTCATGCTTGGTGGGAACGTGACCCTCGGTCCAGCGGAAAGAACTGGGGTCGTGAATGGGCTGACCATGCTGGGTGTTGGGACCGAGCTTAGTCCCAACGGCAAAACCGGAGTTGAAACGGCTGGCAGGGTAGCAACCATGGGGGTGCTGATACCTTCAGTGGTGGCCTGCACCTGAGCAGAGGTAGCGTTGATTTGCTGGCTGGAAGACATTTTGAGTGGTGTTTTTGTGGGTAGGTTTGTGTTTAGAAGAGAAGAAACCTTAACGGTCCCACGGTCGGCGCCAAAAATGATGGTGTAAATTACTTGACCGGTCAAACTATACTAGACAGGGTCTAGAATAGTTGGCTTGATTCAGTAAAGTAAAGAAAGTAAAAACACTCAGAATGACCGGTAGGACTTTAGGTGGAACACCTGTAGCCCGAATTATATTAAAACAGAGAGTGCACGGTCACTTTTACAAGGGAGTTTAGAGAGAGTGAATTCGGATCCCTCTTTCTGAGGTTTACATGAGTATTTATACTAGGTTTGGGGGGACAGGACCACGTGCGCCCACGTGGGTGCACGCTGCTGATGTGGTGCGAGGTGACTGCCCCCGAGCTGCCTTGTCATCTTGCGAGGGGAATTACTTCCCTTGTCGCGTTCTGGCTTGGAAACATTCCTTCAGCATCTCCGGTTGTTCTTCGCTGACATGGGTCGCTACACGCCAAGTCCTCTCAGATTCTCTTCTGCCGACACTTTCCAACCCTAGAAACTACACCGGGTAGTCTCCGAGGGATGAGATCATCAAGGTTAGGAAAAATAGGGTGACAAAGTAGTTTGACCGGTATACCTTTTCGTGAAGTATACCAGTCATCTTTGGGCCGATTACACATCAATTTTCTGACGATTTAAGTTTCCCTCCCAAAACTTTCGAGATTGACCGGTCAACTAACTGGTCATCTCCTTTGACCGGTCATGGGTGGAATACACCCATCAATAATAATAATAATAATAATAATAATAATAATAATAATAATAATAATAATAATAATAATAATAATAATAATAATAATAATAATAATAATAATAATAATAATATTTTTTAGAGTGATTTGTCAGAAAGTAGAAAGAATTTGAAGAAAATAAAAATAGTTGGAAGAAAATGGAAAAAACTGAAAGGAACTGGAAGAATTGGAAGGAACTGGAAGAAATAAGAAGGAACTGGAAAGAAATGGAAGCAAATGGAAGAAACTGGAAGTTAAGAGTTCAAGCTCTAAAGAACAGGCTCTAAAAGTGCTACGTTGGAAAAAAACACATGTGATGCTATTTAGGGAAAATCATTATGTTTTAGTGCTATTTACGTAAATTCCCCAAAAAATCTAACAGGGAAAGAAAAAGAAATTTAAAATAAAAAAAGTATAAAAAACTTAAAAAATGGAATTAAAAAGTAAAGAAAAGATTAAATGAAAAGAAAACAAAGAGAGAAGGGAGGAAAGAAAGAAAGAAAAGAGAAGAAAAATAACACAAAAAAGTGCCATGATGGAGTTGATTGAAGGCCATCACGCTCACAGGGAGAGGGGCGGTATTCCCTCCCCATCACGTGCCGTGGTGGCAGCCATCACGGCTCCATCACAATCCCCACATCGTCCAACCTAATATTCAACTCTCTCATTGTATTGGTTGGTTATATTGGGCTTCTGTTGGCGGGTTAATTATATTTACAACACAAATTATTCTTATTACGCTGGGGTTCTAGTAACACTGGAAAAGAGTGCCAATAGCGGTGTCACTGGGTTTTTGGGGCACTTCCGGTGCTCCGTTCGTAAAATTGACGGTTCCTATCCCCCTTAACTCACCCCCTAAACCCCCCACCCTACCCCACCCCTGCACCCCCACTCCAACCCCACCGTAAGCCCCCACAAAATATGTGACTATTATGTATTGCATAATATTATAATTAAATTACAAAATATAAAAAAAAATACTCTGTTTGAATTAAATTTTATTTTATAAAAATACTCTGTTTGAATTTACAAAATATATAAAGAGTAATATTTTTTTCACGTTTTTCTCTTTCATTTTCAAAAAGAAAAACAAAGCCTAATAACATCCTCTCTTGAGTGTGGAGTACCGGTTTGAAATAAGGATGGTGTTTTTACAATTAAATTATACTCCGTACATTAAATTGGATAAAGACTTAGGGGCTGTTTGTTTCAGCCTCTTAATGGTTCAGATGTCTGAATGATTCAGCACTTAATGGTTCAGACTGTTTGTTTCAGTCACTTAATGGTTCAGATGTCTGAATGGTTAAGAGATTTGGCTCTGAATGGTTAAGTATTATACAAAGTCTGAATGGTTAAGAGCTCTTATCTGAATTGATCAGACATTTACCTCTGAATAGTTAAACAATATACTAGCTCTTAATGGTTCAGATCTCTTACTGGTTCAGCACTTACTCATTCAGAAGTTGCCAAACAGCCCCTTACCGTATCTCAAACCGGTAATTCACACTTTATCCGTGGAAAATAGCCATCCTAAAGTGAAAGGTGTAATCCAAGTAAATGATGTTATGCTGGCGGCGACAAATTGTGTAATCCTTGTTTCTTTATCCCCGTTTTGAGTTATGCAACTCAACGGTGAGGTACTATTCTTATCTCTTCAAAAATGTTAGGGGTACACCAAAAGTGTACCCCAAATGTACCCCACCCCCTCCATCATCACATAATTTGGCAAGTAAAATAATAAATAAATAAATAAATAAAAATGAGTGGTAATGGAGGAGGTGATGTACATTTGGGGTACACCTTTTGGTGTACCCCTAGCATTACTCTTCTTTATTATGGAGCATTATTATCATTTAAAGATTGGTATAAAATTAAATATAAAACTTACATATTTAAAAATTATAGCAAATACTTTAAAAAATATTGGATAACTTTTTTTTATAATCGATGAAAAATTTAAAACATATATATAAATAAAAGTCTTACTACTAGGCATTAGTTTTGAATTGTGATGTGTGTCAATTTTTTGGGACGAATGAAGTATTTGTCTGCAAAACATTTCCCGAACAAAAAATTGAGTATTAAAAACAATGAGAAGTTAAATCTTTATGGATGAAAAGTTTGCAAAATTTAACTTGAGAAATTTTTTTCCATAAAATTGGAATTGGAATGTCCACACGGGTAAGTTAATATACATCCGGAGGTACTCCGGGGTATATTTTAAAAATGTGAGGTACCCGATAGTTATTTTCTCAAAATAGAAGGTACCTCAGAGTATATTTTAAAAATATGAGGTACCCAGCAGTTAATTTCTCAAAATAAGGGGTACCCAGGAGCACTTTTCAGCATTTTTAAATCATAATAGTTACTCGTACTTTTATTATTCCATTTTTTAAACAAAATAAATTATTTTTGCTTTTATTTGTTTAGTTTAAAAAAAATTCAGCCCGCATTAAAATATTTATTAAATTTTGAACTTTTACAGCCAACCAGGTTGACTTTTTTTTACTGATATTTCACTTAAAATGAATTTTTTCCATCATCTCCGATGGAGTCAAAATTTCACCATTTTTGGCTTTGGGGTGTGATGGAATAAATCAAAATGGATCTCTAAACTATCTGCGCTTCTTCAATTAATGAAGTAGCAGTTAGTCAAACACTGCAACTTTCGATGTTGAGCCGGGGGTCTCTTTGAAAACAGCCTCTCTACTTTCGAGTAGGGGCAAGGTCTGCGTACACACACCCTCCCCAGACCCTACTCTTGTGGGATTTAACTGGGTTGTTGTTGTTGTTGTTCACTTAAAATGAATTTACAAAAAGTATGACTCAGTTGTATGAAAAAAGAAGATTCCTCATGGGTATTTATAATGGAAAACAAAAAAAATGCTTGGAGTAACGACAAAATTAAGAGAAGAATCAAACATACAATACTAAAGTGACTTGAAGGACAAAAACTTGAAGTACCCAATTACCCATTATAAAGTTTAGTCAAAACAAAACAATCTTTCAGCGGGTAAATGAACCAGCAGCAGTTATGTACTTCAGTTATGCAGTTTAGATTTTGGAGCATAGTCCATGCCATCACTTTTGCAAAGTAGACAATGCTTGGATATAATAATAATCACCAATTCGCACAAGATCATGTTAGAAATGTCCAATCAATACTTGGATTCTCTGTAAGGTAGGTAATTACTTTCATATTGAAACAATTATGTACTTTACAATGAATTCTTAATCGGATACAAATAAGAGAACTGAAGAACAAAGTATGGAATTTTGTTAGATTTTTCAAACCTATGTCTCTTGACCAATCTGCGAACGAATCTTATAGACGTGGGAAAGAACACACGAACTGCTGTGTTGTGCCTCTTTCTAATGTTTGTGTTTATTCGATGATTTATACAAGAAGAAGCGCATTAGATTTTCTTAAGTACCAAATCAAAAAAATAAAAATTCAAATAAAGTTTTAACACAACACTTTGTTCAGGATAAAATTTTTTGACCCCAACTAGGGCTCTGCTTCTTGGACCCCGAGGGGGCTACCGCCTCTTGAACCTTGCTCTGAGGTGTGCTGTCTAGAACCCCCACCAAGAGGGCACTGCTCCCTTGGAACCTTGTTAACGTATTTAGAGGCAAAATATGACTTTTATCATAATAAACTTAATAAAGCGTGTACTCTGCACCATCAAACTTCTATGATAATTTGACTATGGTGTTTTTAAAATTAGTCTTCATCCTTGAAAAAATTAAGACAACGTTACACCATTACTCCCAAAATTCTATGATTTTATTCCCAAAAGTTTTACGGAGCACTAACTCCATCCTAGTGTAATCGTTCAGATTAATTCTTTTGAGTCAAACTGGACGATTTTTAAACCTTAATTAAATAAAAATTGTAATGCACATAAGTTTAAAAATGATTTTATTAGGTTCATCTTATTAATAACTTTCTAAATTTTATTTTGTTATATTAATATGTATTAAAAATGGAGAGTAATTGATGTCCAAAATTCGCCCAGTTTGAATAAAAAAAGTTAAAATGGAAAATATGCTGGGACACATAGAGAATATATGTTTAAATCCCTGATCTCAAAATTGATATACTCTCTCTGTCCCTATTTAGATTAAAAATTGGAATTTAAGAGGCAAAATCTCTCATTTTCAAAACTTATTTTCTTTACAAATTGGTACATCAATAAAAATGAAAATTATATATTAAAGCATTACGTCAAAAGGTATACAAAACAAGATGCAATAATAGTTTTTATTTTAACAAATGAGCAATAAAAAAATACAAATAAGCAAAAGTTATCGAGGGATGAGAGTAAAAAAAACTACAATCAATTTAGGGAAAAGGGGAGTATGTATTATATGGGTGCTCCAAGTTGAAGGGTAGCAACTGTTCCATTTATTGAATTGTAATGTAAAACTGCACAATTCGGAGAGTATTGGAGTAAATTTTTCCAAAAAATAATTTGCCAGACCATGGCTTTGTAGAT